TCGTGGGGAATAAGCTTCAACTCCAATCAAGTGTTTGCCAAACCTTCGCTGTATGTCTAGCACAGTGCAAGGCACTGCAAATAGACACTTAAATAAGACATAGTCCCCGCTCTCAAAGAGTTCACTATTGAGTTGGGATTATAAGGCTGTCCAGACAGTGAAACAATGCAAGATAATATGTGAAAAGTTGTTTAAATGTGAGCATGGTTATGTGCAATAGGAATATGGAGAAGGGGTCATTCGGGAGATGGGTTGGGCTCTGTGTAGGAGATGTACTGAGAGCAGGGAAGGAGATTGTAATGGTGAGTTAGGAGAGGGAATTCACATAAAGAAGAGCAGTTGTCATAGTTTTAAAGGTTGAGATGTATGGGGCGGGGGGTACTGTTTGACCAGGGAGGTGGGCAATCATAGGAGACTGGAAAGAGCTGGGACTCCAATGCCAGCTTAAGGAAAAGTTTTCTGTCACTCTTCAGTCTGGTTTGAAGCAGAGGGATGGTGGAGATAATCTTTGGGAGCTCTATCTGGCCCTTGAAGACCAGAACAGTACCTGGAATTCCTCCCACCTGTCTGTCTTCTTGTGCCTCCCAATACAACAGAGGAGGAGGAAGGAAACTGATCCCCAGCTGCATGTCTGTCTTTTCTCTAGCACCCCAGACACAGCAACTAAAGAATGAGGGGATGCATTCAGTCATAATCATGATTCAGGAGGATCTCAAACCAGTGAGCAGAAAGGCTGAATGTTTGGGCTGGGAGGGCAATTGCTTTCTTGAGACCTTGAAGTTGTGTAAAATGGAGAGGGGGAGGCTGTTCGTGGATGAGGAGAGAGGTAAGACACCCCCTTACCAAGACCCTCCTGGCCTCAGACTCTGCCCATGGGTTACATTTGGGCTCTTCAGAGCCTGAGAAGGATTTGAGAAGTGAACAGGTGGTTCCTACCTATTTTCTGAGCCTTGTCAGTGGGGACACAGAGCTCTAAAGAATGCTAATTCTGCCCCCTAAAAATTCAGTTTATTTGGGGAGAGAAGACCTCAAACATCATATCTAGCATAGGGTCTGAGAAGCCATATTTTTAACAAGCTCTGCCAGAATTGGAGGCAGCAGAGACTGCTCCCAGGTCTGAATCATGCAAGACAGGGAGCAGAAGAGCAGCAGTTTAGGGTGCCAGGTGGACAACAATGGCACCATCCCTAAAAACAAAGTCCTAAATCTTCAGAAGGTTGATGGAGAGACTGGGATCTTGAGGGCTGGACCCTCAGGACTTATGGGATTCATTCCTGTCTTTCCCTATGAAGGCCAGAACATGGGACTTTTCCTGGACTCTGATTTCTCCCTACCCAACACTTCTGTCAATTTCTTATCTTATATAAGGTGTGGGCAAGCTAAGTGCTTACAGTTCTTCAGGAGAAGGGTAGGAACTTAAATGGGCTAGAACTTCAGGGTGGAGTAGGGTGGTCAGGTTCAGTGGCTGGTTGTCTGTCATCACCTGGAGACCAGGGAAGAGTCACACTGGGCTTGAAGTTGGGAGATCTGAGTCCCTTGAAGACACCCCTCACCTGCTCTGGTCCTTTGTGTTCTCACCTGGAACATGAAGTGTCATACTGATGTGTTTTCCTATCTTGTCATGTGATGGTCTGTGACCCCCCCCCCCCACAGGTGCGGAAGGCCCTCCTGAACTTCATTGAGATGCTGGGCCAGCATGACTACTTGGCCATGCCCCAGGGGAATGTCATCATCAACTATGTCATCAAGCTCAGTGAGTCTGCCTGCTCAGTGAGCAGGGGCCAGGCAGGGAGGGGACTGAGGGTGGGAGCAAAAGAAGGGCAGGTTTGGGAGTAGAAGGGAAAGAAGAAGAGGGCATGGTTGGCACAGTGGGAAGGGGCTTTGGTGTCTAAAATTCTGAGCAGTGAGCCAGGGGAGGCCTTGAACCAGAAGACTCAGCATTGGTTTCAGATTTAAATCTTTTCCTTTCTTATTCCAGAATGAAGAGGACATCCAACTAATGTGTTCCAAAATCCTGCAGATGGTACAAGCAGCTAGGGTCAAAGAGACTTCTTCATCTCCTCCTCCCCTGGCTGCCCAGATCACTACCCTGACCCCCAGATTGCATTCTCTCTGCCTACTCCCTACCCCCCACTCCATCTAACCTAACCCCTTGTACTGTCCCTTCCACCATCCCCACCTCTATCTGTTCCCACTTGAGTGCCTGGGGCTCCTCTGAGAAATGGCTCAGTGGAGCAGAGGATCACTGGATGGTAAACCTGGAGGCCTGAGACTGGGTCCTGCTCAGCCAGTTTTTGGCTAGAAAATCTAGAGTAAATTACTCTCCAGGCTACAGTTTCTCCTGTAAAAAAGTGGGTGATTATCCACCCTGCCTGCTCTTAGCAACCTCCAAGGATTCCTGGAGACTCCTATGAGTTGTTGTGTGGGTCAGAGTTGAGTCAGGGGCCATGGGAAGAAAAGGACAGCTGTGATTTACTCTTCTTCCCAGAGACCCCTTCTCCCTCCCAGCAAGCTGTCTCCTGACTGCTAACATGTCTTCTGCCCCTGGAATGTTCCCCAGTGAAGGCGATTACAAGTCACACAATTCCAAATTTCAAGAAGCCCCTCTATTTAATCAAGTCCTTCCTGCTGTAATTTTAATCAGGACCTTGGTTATGGTTTACCAATATGCAGTGGAAAGGGAGAGAGGGTGAAAGGGAAGGGGGACTATGAATGGGATGGGGGTCTGTGTATACAGGTCTCAAATGCCCCTCCAAGAAAGAAAGACAAAGCCATAGGGTTGAAGAACTTATGATTGGGGCTGATTTGGAGCTTGACATCGAATCCCTTGCCACATCTTCTGCCAGGTGTCCTTGCCCAAACTGATCACCTTGACGTGCCAGCCCAGCAACACCTTGGCCTTCGTGCTGCTGAGTAAGACAGCCACAGACATGGTTCTGAAGGCCCGGTCCCTGGGCAGGTCCCCTACCTTAGCAGCTTTCACCTCAGCCGTAAGTACACGGGATGGGGCGGGGGGGAGATTGTGGAGAGGGGGCAGCTGTGAAAGCACAGGCTGCCCCAGGCAGGAGGGTAGGGTGGGACAGGGACTGAGACTCTGAAGGGGTCATGGGTATGGGGAGAGGGTGCAGATCTGCTGTTGTGGGGGGTCGTGGCTGTGAGCCTGGGCCAGGACGTAAGAGGAAGACAAAGGGTTAGGACAGCAGCTTGATGCCATTTGGCCCTTCATATGAATGAAAAGGGGATTCTTCTGGAAGAGAGGCAACCCCCCACACAGATCCTTCTTGCCTTTATTCCTCGTCTTAAAACACTGGAGTAGAGATGTGAGAACTTCGTTGTTAATTACAAAGTAATGTGTACACAGACATTCCTGACCCTTAGTTCTTCCTTTGCCCTGACTCTGAGCCTCACTCTGTACTCACCCCACCCCTGACTGCTAGTTCCAGAGGGAGTCAGAATTGAGGTGAGGATATCTGTTCGGCACATTACTTGAGGGGTGTGTGTGTTTGTGTGTTTGGAAAATAAGTATTCTTTGTTACGGTTTTAAAGGAGGAAAGTTAGCAAATGACTTTCCCAGTGTTGAGACTTCTGATTATAATCAATGTGAACAATAGACATTTAAAAGATGGACTTAGGGTTTTCAAATATGAAAAGCTACATTTAATAAAATGTGTACAACTTCTCAGAATAGTGGGAGATGCTTTCAAGGTATAAACTAATAGAATGCACTCATGAGTAGTGACCATTTACCATGCTTTGGCTGGACAATGCCTTTCTTCCCTAGTCTGTCTATTTAATTTTTTTTTTATTGTGGTATAGGTGACATACAATGTTATGTTAATTTCAGGTGGGGGCACCTGGGTGGCTCAGTCAGTTAAGTGTCTGCCTTTGGCCCAGTTCATGATTCTCAGGATCCTGGGATCGAGCCCCTCATTGGGCTCCCTGCTCAGCAGGAAGCCTGTTTCTCCCTCTCTCACTCCCCCTGCTTGTGTTCCCTCTCTCGATGTCTCTCTCTCTGCCATAAATAAATAAATAATCTTAAAAAAAAAAACAACAACACAAAATGTTGTAATCCCCATGGCAATGGCACCAATAATCGCTCTCCACTTTGCTTTTTCTCCTCCCTTGAAGAATGGGTAGTGGGCTGCTGGTGGGAGAGGGGCCTGAAGGTTGGGCATCCTGGAGCTGGCACTGACTCTGTCCTCTTTTATCCTCTCTTTAACTTAGCTACCCAGTTCATCTCCCCACAGAAACTCCTGACCCATCTTGTGGTAAGGATGAATACTATCCATCCATCCATCCATCCATCCCCACATTCCACAAATAGTTGAGTACTACTCTATTCCAGGCATTGTGCTGGGCATGGAATAAGGGGTAGGGCCAAAGATCACAGGTGCTTTGGGGAGAGGTGATCAAACAGCTTGGAGGAGGGAACTGGGAGCATAGTTCTGGGAGCTGAAGGTGGGGAAGGGGTGAGGGTTGGGGAAGGCCTGGCCTGTCTCCTATGTGGCCTTATAGTGAGCTGTTCTCTGTTGATCTTGGACAAGTCCACATGCCTTTTTGGATCTCATTTTTTCAGCAAGAATGTTTTGAGTTTCTCTATGTACCCAGACATTATGTTCTAGACATTATGAACACTTGGAAAGACAAGGTATGGAACTGCCCTTGAAGTGTTCACAGTCTTAGTGGGAAGGATAAGCCTGGGAATAACCACCCATAATGCAGTGTGATAAATGTTAGTAGAGGAATACACAAGTTGCAATGGGATCTAAGAAGAACAAGGGGCTGACTTGGTCTCCAGGAATCAGAGGAGGCAACGTTTTGAGAGCATCTTGCAGAACATGTAGGAGTTCACAGGTGGAAAAGAATGGGAAAAGGCTAAGCTTCAGCTCTACCATTCTATGGGTTTGTTCTGATTTTCTTCCTTCTCTTCCCTTAAATCCTTTCTCTGCCTCCTGCTTGCTTCCCTTGTTTCTCAGATATTTTCCCTGGAGCCCTATAGAGAAAGGGAGTTTGGTGTAAGCTCTCTAAGGCTACTACATGCCCTGCATCCTATCACCTCCTTGGACCCCGTTATCAACTCGAATGTGGGCCAGCTGTGGATGAAGGAGATCCCCCAGATGTTGCAGATACTGGATGGTGAGGGGTTGGCTGTGAGGTGGGAAGAATGGAGCTGGGGCATTGGGGCAGACTCCAGAAGAGATGAAGTTCCGAGGTGCAGGATGGATCTTCCTTGGGGTGAGGAGAACCGGGACCAGTCTCTGTCTTTCTGAGATGCGGTTTGGATAGGTCTGCTTATTTGGACCATGTTCTGCACTGAGCAGATATGCAGCCCAGAGTTCTGTGACTCCAGAGTTCCCAGAACTCTCCTTCTTGTGGACAGAGGTTCAGGAAAGAGTGTGGGCTTTGGAACCAGAGACCCAGGTTTGTATCCTTGCTCTAACACTTGCCAGCTGGGTATGTTTGACCTTTGAAAAGTTATACATTTCCTGGAGCCTCTGAAAAGAAGGGGGAACAATTATCTTGTAGGATCATGATGAAAATTAAATGAGAGGATGGGCACAAAGCCCTTAGAATAGCGTTCAAATGTTGGTTCTTTTTCCCTGGCCGGCCGGGGCCTTCTGGTCGGGCAGGTCCCTATACTCTCTTCTTTCCTAGATCACACTGAGGAGAACCTGGATCAGGAGGAGTGGGAGGACAGGCTGCTTCAGGTATGCACTCTAAGAGACATACCTTTCTCCACACTTGCCTTCCTTCCCCTCTTCAGGATCCTGAGGGAGAAGAGGCCCCACACCCCCTGAGACTGAGACATGATTGAGGGACCTCCCTACTCAAGAGAACCTCTTTGACTCCAGGATTGGAATGTGCACTATATGCTTGGGAGCAGAGGGGAGAGCTATTTACTTGGCTGGTTGGGGTTGGCCAGAAAAGCTTTCTCAAAGGTGGTCCACCATCTCAGTTCACTTAGGACTGCCCTGGTTTTAGCTCTAAAAGTCCAGCATACTAGGTAATGCCTCAGTCCTGGGCAAACTGGGAAGATCAGTCACTCTACAGACGAATGATTAAGTCTGGAAAGATGAGTAATCTGCCAGCTAAGCAGTAATTTGCCAGCTAAGCAGAGAAGCCGGTGCCTTAGGTCAGGTTTCATAGAAGCAGAGCCTAAGGTGGGGGTCCTTGTCAAGTGATTTGGCAAGAAAGTGCTCTCAGGAGAAGCTGTGATCAAGTAAAAGGAACAGGGTAGGAAGAGGAGAGGCTAAGCAAGGATGTGGGGAGACCTGGATGGAAACTACACCACAGAGTCTATCCTGCTAAGAGACAAGTGAGGGGGGCTTTTGTATTTCCCCACGCCTCCACCTCTCCATCACTGGTGCCAGGCTTCTATGGTTGGTATGGGGCAGGGATGGGAGAGAGAAGAATGTAACTCTCAGGCACCTCCAGGCAAAGAGACCCAAAAAGGCTTACAGGTGGGAACTGCTCACAATGGTGCCTGCAACCAGGGAAGGGAAGGAAACTTCGGCTCTGGACAAGGCTTGAAGAGCATCTGCTAGAGGAAGAAAAGGTGCCCATCTAGAGGGGGCTCTGGGGGAAAGTTGACACATTCATTGAACATCTGGTATACCTTGTTTGTCTACTGTGTCAGGCACTCTGTAAGCATTGGAGTAGATCAATGAACAAGACATACACACAATGACCAAGACATACAATGAACAAGACATAAAGCTCCTGAGCTTTATTCTCATTGGAGAGGAGAGGTTGGGGAGAGTTAAGAACTAACCAAACAAACACATAAACAAGATGACTAGTGATTGTGAGGAAGCTTTGAATCAAAGAAGCAGGATGGTGAGCTAGAGAGGAATTTAGGAGGTCAGGGAAGGCTCACTGAGACATGATCAGAAAGATGAGAGTGAGACAGCATTTTGAAGAGCCCAGGGAAGATTCCAGACAGGGGAAATGGGAAATATAGAAACCCTGAGGTAGGAAAGTGTTGAGTACATAAATACAGATATTACAAGGTAGACAGGGTAATGAATAGCAAGCAAGGATAAAGGCTACAGAAATTCAGAAGAGGGAGAGATATAGATTACTTTTATGATTATGCTATTTTAATTTTTAAATTATGCAAATTTAAGGAACTGGGTTTTTAAAAATATTTTTTAAAGATTTTATTTATTTATTTGAGAGAGAGAGAATGAGAGAGAGCACATGAGAGGGGTTAGGGTCAGAGGGAGAAGTAGACTCCCTGCCAAGCAGGGAGCCCGATGCGGGACTCGATCCAGGGACTCCAGGATCATGACCTGAGCCGAAGGCCATTGCTTAACCAACTGAGCCACCCAGGCACCCTGTTTTTATTTTTTTTCAAGTGAAGCTTTGTTATTAAAATTTATTTTTGTGTTTGGTTTTTTTTAACTTATTTTTTATTCAAGTATAACAAACATACAGCATTATATTAGTTTCAGATGTACAATATGGTGACTCAACAATTTTTTACATTTCTCGGTGCTCATCAAAATAAGTGTACTCTTAACCATCTGAGCCACCCAGGCGCCCAAAATAAGTGTACTCTTAAGTCCCCCTACCCACCTTCCCTCTGGCAACCACCAGTTTATTCTCTGTATTTAAGAGTCTGTTTTTTTGTTGGTCTCTTTTTTCTCTGTTCGTTTGTTTCATTTCTGAAATTCCACATATGAGTGAAATCATACCGTATTTGTCTTTCTGTATTTCACTTAGCATTATACCCTCTATATCCATCCATGCAGTTGCAGATGGCAAGATTTCATTCTTTTCATGGCTGAATAATATTGCATTCCACATCTTTATCCATTCATCTATCAATGGACTGGGTTGCTTCCATTTCTTGGCTATTGTAAATAATTCTGCAATAAGCATCAGGGTGCATATATCTTTTTGAATTAATGTTTTCATTTTCTTTGTGTAAATACCCAGTAGTAAAATTGCTGGACGATGTGGTTAGTCTATCTTTAATTTTTTGAGGAATGTCTGTACTGTTTTCCACAGTGGCTGCCCCTGTTTGCATTCCCACCAACAGGACACAAGGGTTTCTTTTTCTCTCCATCCCCACAAACTCTTGTTATTTCTTGTTTTTTTTTTTTTTATTTTTTAGCCATTTTGACAGGTGTAAAATGATATCTCATTGTGGTTTTGATTTGCATTTTCCTGACAATTAGTGATGTTGAGCATCTTTTCATGTGTCTACTAGCCATCTATATGTCTTCTTTGGAAAGATGTCTATTCAGGTCCTTTGACCACTTTTTAATTGGATTATTTGCTTTTTTGGTGTTGAGTTGTATACATTTTTTATATATTTTAGATATTAGCTCCTTTTCAAATATATCATTTGCAAATATCTTCTCCCATTCAATAGGTTGCATTTTTGTTTTGTTGATGCTTTCCTTCACTGTGCAGAAGCTTTTTATTTTCGTGTAGTCCCAATAGTTTAATTTTGCTTTTGTTTCCCTTGTCTGAGGAGACATATCTAAAAAAAATGTTTCTATGGCTGATGTCAAAGAAATTACTGCCTATGTTTTCTTTTAGGAATTTTATGGTTCCAAATGAAGACATTTATGTCTTCAATCCACTTTGAGTTTAGTTTTGTGTATGGTGGTAAGAAAATGGTTTATGGGCGCCTGGGTGGCTCAGTTGGTTAAGCAACTGCCTTCGGCTCAGATCATGATCCTGGAGTCCCAGGATCGAGTCCCGCATCGGGCTCCCTGCTCAGCGAGGAGCCTGCTTCTCCCTCTGACCCTCCCCCCTCTCATGTACTCTCTCTCATTCTCGCTCTCTCAAGTAAATAAATAAATCTTTAAAAAAAAAGAAAATGGTTTAGTTTCCTTCTTTTACACGTGGCTATCCAGTTTTCCCAACATCATTTGTTGAAAAGACTGTCTTTTTCCCATTGTATATTCTTGCTGCCTTTGTCTTAGATTAATTGACCATAAAACCGTGGGTTTGTTTCTGGACTCTCTATTCTGTTCCATTGATTTATGTGTCTATTTTTGTGCCAGTACCATACTGTTTTGATTACTACAGCTTTGTAGTAAAGTTTGAAATCTGGGATTGCTTTGTTCTTCTTTTTCATGATTGCTTTGGCGATTCAGGTTTTTTTTTGTTTGCTTTTTTGGTTGGTTTGTTTTTTGTGATTCCACAAATTTTAGGATTATTCTAGTTCTGTGAAAAATGCTGTTGGTGTTTTGATGGGGGTTCCATTAAGTTTGTAGATTGCTTTGAGTAGTATGGACATTTTAACAATATTGGTTGTTCCAATCCATGAGCATGGAATATCTTTCCATTTGTTTGTGTCATTATCCCAATATCAAAGTCAGATAAAGGCATTATAAAAAAAGAAAACCACAGGCCAATATCTCTGATGAACATAGATGCAAAAATGCTCAGCAAAATATTAGCAACCAGAATCTAAAATCATTCACCATGATCAAGTGGGATTTATTCCAGGGATGTGAGGGTGGTTCAATATTCACAAATTCATCAACATGATACATCACATCAATAAGAGAAAGGATAAAAACCATATGATCATCTCAATAGATGGGGACAAAGCATTTGAAAAGTACAATATCCATTCATGATAAAAACTCTCAACAAAGTAAGTTTAGAGAGAACATACCTCAACATAAGAAAAGCCATAAAAACCCACAGCTAAGGGCGCCAGGGTGGCTCAGTCCGTTAAGCGTCTGCCTTCGGCTCAGGTCATGATCCTGGAGTCCCGGGATCGAGTCCCGCATCGGGCTCCCTGCTCGGCGGGGAGTCTGCTTCTCCCTCTGACCTTCCTCCTTCTCATGCTCTCTGTCTCTCATTCTCTCTCTCTCAAATAAATAAATAAAATCTTTAAAAAAAAAAAAAAGAAAAACCCACAGCTAACATCATACTCAATGGTGGAAAACTGAGAGCTTTTCCCCTAAGATCAAAAACAAGATAAGGATGTCCACTCTCACCACTCTTATTCAACATAGTACTGGAAATCCTAGCCACAGTGATCAGACAAGAAAAAGAAGTAAAACCCATCCAAGTTGGCAAGGAAGAAGTAAAACTTTCACTATTTGCAGACGACATGATATTATATACAGAATATCCTAAAACTCCACCAAACTGATAAATGAATTCAGTAAAGGGTACAACAATAATATACAGAAATCTGTTGCATTTCTTTACAGTTAATGAAGCATCAGAAAGAGAAATTAAGAAAATAATCTCATTTACAATTGCACCAAAAATCATAAAATACCTAGGGATAAACTTAACCAAGAAGGTGAAAGATCTGTGCTCTGAAAACTGTAAAACATTGATGTAAGGAACTTTTGATTTTCTAGCTGGAAATGGGAAGTATGTGGATCAGGGAAAGTTCCTAAAGGGATGATCCATACCCTAAGATGCCAAGAAATTAGAAATACAGCTTTCTCTTACCTCTAGCTTCAGCCCCTGCTCTATAGGATTACTGCCTTATCCAGATGCCCCCCAGAGAACAGGAGGGCCAGAGTGGTGGTTGGGGCAGTGGGGAAGGGTGCTGGCTGACAGTTTCAAAACCAGTTTGGGTAATGGCTATTCCCCAAGCTACCCTAACTTCATTCCAAGTTATGCATGACCCTGCCCTTTCACCTCTCCTAGGCTTTTCTATATAAATTCTTCGGATTTACCCTGCGGACCTCAAGGAATATGAAACTGGTGAAGATGATGCTCTCCTCCATCCTACAAGCTATCCATGAAGACCTGCAGGAGAGGGAGGTGAGGTGGAGGAACCGGCAAAGGGGAAACATTTTTCCTTTAAGAGGCAGGGTGATGAAGTAGTTAAAAGCTAAGACCTGGCAAGCTCGACAACCTGTTGGAATCCTAGGTCTGCCACTTTCTAACTGTGTGCCCTTGGGCAAGTTATTTACTATTATTATTTTATTTTCTGACTCATTTCAGGAAGTTGCAACCATGATGCACATTTACCCCTAAATACTTAAGGGTGTACTACCTAAAAATAATGATATTCCCTTACATAATCAAAGCACAGTGATCAAAATTAGGAAGTTAACATTGCTACAGTACTATTATCTAATTTATAGACCTGATCTGAAAATGGCCAATTGTCCTACCAATGTTTTTTTTTAGAGCAGAAGAAAAACATTTTTTTCTCCGGTCTGGGATCTAATTTAGAATCAAATAGTATGTTTAGTTATCATTTAGCTTTAATATTTTTAATCTGGAACAGTTCTCAGTTTCTATTTTTCATGATCTTGACACTTAAAAATGTATGGACCATTGATTCTGTAGAATGTAGCTCATTTTTTGTTTGTCTCATATTTCCTCATGATTACATTTAGATTATGTATTTTTGGTGGGAATACTATGGAACCTGTGTGTCATAGGATGGTTTTCAGGATTAAAAATATAAAAGCTCCTAGAACAATGCCTGGCACACAAGCACTCTCTAAGTGTTGCTTACTGGTAGAATTGGTGGCCGTGCTCTCAGGCATCCCCTCTCCAATGCCCCTTCCCTGCCAGATTCTCAGAGCATCCATCACCATCATGACTATCATCAGTTATTTACCAAGCCCAAGGTGCAAACAGTATCATTGAGGAGACAAACATATATAGGAAGAAAACAGCTGGCTCCACAGAATAGCCTTACTAAAGGCAACACGAATGGTCACAGAGACATATAGTGGCTGTTGGGGTTGGGGGTGAGGACTTCGGCTAGTTGGGTCTAGATTAGGAGGGAAGTGGGTATTCCCACTTGACATAATATTCCAAGATAAGAATTTTTGGGACCATGTCTACAGAACAGTCAGTGGCATAGTGGGACTGGAATACAGGGTTCTTTGACAGGGAGGTGAAAGTGACCTGTCTGCCAACACCTGGGGACAGATTGGATACAGAGATAAAGATTAAGAGGGCAGAGGATGTTCAGGATAGTTCCTGGGTTTCTGGCATGCTGGGAGGTGGTATCCTTCACTGAGATCAGGAATGCAGGACATAATGGGGAAGAAGATGATGCATTCAGTTTTGATGGGGAGAGTTTAGGGTGCTCCTGGTAGGGAGCCAGGTGGAGAGGCTCAGTATCCATGTAGATCTGGAACTCAGATCTGGGCTGGATGGCTGCATTTGGGAACAATTATATTTTCCCTGTTTGTAAAATGGGGTTGATAATATTTACCTTAAAGCTTTAGCATGAGGATCAGTGAGATAGCATGTGTAAGGCTGGTACAAACTAAGCATTAAATATTCTGATGATGTCAGTGATGATGATGATGATCAGGATGAGTGGAAGCCAAGGCTAAGGGATGGCATGGGAAGAGGGACAGACTAGATAGAACCCTCTTCTGATATTCAACTAGTCCCTGCTTTCTTTTTTTTTTTTAAAGATTGATTGATTTGTCAGAGAGAGAGCACAAGCAGCGGAAGCAGCAGGCAGAGGGAGAGGGAGAAGCAGACTCCCCACTGAGCAGGAACCCAATGCGGGACTCAATACCAGGACCCTGGGGCCATGACCTGAGCCGAAGGCAGATGCTTAGCAGGCTGAGCCACCCAGGCTCCCCGAGTCCCTGCTTTCTAACTAGGCAAAATTTTCCCTTCATCTACTTGGAGGCCAAAAGCCTACAAGTCCCATTAATATTTCATCCTTTCTAGAGGATCTGTTCCCTGGAACAACTGTAACTGTCCCTAGGTCCCCAGCACTCTGCCTCCTCTGCTGCAAAGTCTTAATGGCAGCCCATCCTGCACAAACAAGCCAGTTGACAAACAGTTGGCACCTGTCTCTCTGTGTTATATGTTCTTTTTGCTCTGTGCTGATATCCAGGTTGAGTAAGCTCTAGGAAGAGGCTTGGCTGACATTTAAGTCAAAGCGGCCTGCTATGAGGCAGAGGGATTTAAGTTAAAGACTGTTCCTGGCAAGAACTATAGAATCCCCAAGTTTCCCTTGCTCTTGGCCCCCACTCAGTCATCTCTTCCCACCGACAGCATTTTTCACTTAGTTGTCCTGCCACTATGTCCCACAAGACACATGCAGGGACTCCCTCCTTTCTCTCTCCCCAACTCTAGACAGGTCCCCTTTCCACCTGCCCATTTTGGTCAGTTTACTGCTGTTTCCTGTTCTCCTGGGTTAAGAATATTGGCATTCTCTGTATGTCTTCTCTCTTTTCCGTTTCCTCTGATTATCCATCCAATCCTGTTGATAATGTGCCTTGGTTTTGTTCTTCCCTCCTGTTCCCTCCTCACAACCTTTCTCTGAACTTCTAGTGCATATAAGTATACTCTATTCTGCAGTGTTAGATTTGATACTCCTAAGATTTTGCAAATCTGTGACTCTAATTTTTCACAATCTGGGATAATTTGCTTCTTTTGTCCCCCCCATGCATTAAGCACCAAACAAATCTCTACTGAATTCATAGATGAATTCATATACATATGCAATGTCCCCACAGTTCACAAGCATTGTGCAGGGCATGGTTCTCCTCTGGTCCATGATACTCAGGAAAGGCTTTTCTGGATGTTGTCAATTAGTATGAAAAATACAAAAATCAGACTCTTTAATTTTGACAAGCCCTGTGCCTCTTTATCTATCTATCATCTATCTATCTATCTATCTATCTATCTATCTATCTATCTATCTATCTATCACCTAATCTATCTGTCTTTTAGAGTTTTTTTTCATTATAAGTGTGCTCGTTAATCCCCATCCCCTATTCCCCCATCCCCCCACCCACTTCCCCTCTGGTAGTCATGAGTTTGTTCTCTATAGTTAAGAGTCTGTTTCTTGTAATTTGCTCCTTGAATTACTTCTTGCAAGGATGTTTGCTTCTCCATCTGGATTTTAAGTTGTTCAAGTCAGAGGAACCAAATTTTCCTTCCATTTCTTTTCTTTCCCTTTTCTCTCCCTTCTTCTCTCTAAATCCCGGGGTTTGGGAGAGCATAAAGGTGCCTGGATAACTCTTAGCTGTGGCGTGAGGTTGAGGCTATCCCCATTACAGGGCATTGCTGTGGCACTCAGTATTGTGTCCATGAAACATCTGAAGATGGTCCTGGACCAACTGCAAGTGTATAGTGCTATCCTCACTGACAAGGGCTCATCATTCATCCTCAAGCTAACGAAGGTGATGGCATTCCTGGGAACTCTGCCACCCTCCCACACAAAACCTTCTGAGGCATCCCCATCACTCAGACTCCCCACTTCTCTGAGGCCTTGTGACTCACCTATAAAGCTTCTATTTCCCTCTGACCAACTGTGGGGAAGTTTCATCCTCTTCTCCCTTTCCCATGTTCCCTTATGCCCATGCTTCAGGCCCTGGTATCATCAGCGGCATCTCCTTCCTCCCAGCTGTCCACCATTCCACAACCCCATCTTCCCTTCCGGGCCATCTAGCCAATCCATTCCTCCCTGAACCTCCATTCCCCCATCAGGCAAGGATAAGATGAAGAGAAGGCAAGTTTCCCCCTTCCTCTTACAGGAACATCAGCAAAGGGAATGGGGGCTGGTCTGTAACATCATCTACTTAAGCTATAGCAAGATTATTTTAGCGAGCAAGGGAGACATCTTCACGCACTTAGATGACATCCTGGCCGTGGTCCTGCAACACTACCGCAACTGCATTGTAGAAAAGGTACTTCCTGCTTACTCTCCTTCTCCAGTGTCCCATCCCTGCCTTCTTTACCCTTCCCCTCCATGAAAATGATGCCTGGCCTTGAATGGAACAAGGGGGTAGGGCTATTACAGTTACTTCAGGGGAGGTAAGGTGGGGGGGTCCCTAAATAATTTTCCTACCTTTGTCATTTGTCCAGAGCATGTGCCCCTAGGGTAGGAGAAGAAGACTTTCCCAAATCCTGTTCATTTACCATCTAACTAGACATCCTTTGGGAGAACTTATTTGGTAAAAAGACAACTTGAGAGATAAGGAAACTAGCTAGATCTATCCTAATTTAAGAGTAAATATGAGGTGGGAACTCCAGAACCAGGTTGGTAAGAGGGGTGGCCCCTTCCCCCATAAAGATGCCACAGGCTTTGCTTCCCTAAGCTGTCTTCAGAGGGAAGTTGCAAGATCTCAGCCTAGAGAAAGCTATAGAAGCCTTAGCTTTTCATCTCCCAGATTTTGTGTAGGTAGTTTTCCCTTGCCCCAGGATCATTCCTACGTTGGAAATCTCTAAGCATACTGGTTGGTTCAGGATAAGAACCTGAAGCTGGGGTGGGAGGATGGGTTAGCCTGGTGGTGGGTATTGAGGAGGGCACATTCTGCATGGAGCACTGGGTGTTATGCACAAACAATGAATCATGGAACACTTCATCTAAAACTAATGATGTAATGTATGGGGATTAACATAAGAATAAAAAAAAAAATCGCAAAAAAAAAAAAAAAAAAGAACCTGAAGCTGGAGTACCTGGATGCCCTGACCAAGCTAACAAACATCCTGAGCAGCCACCCCATGGCCTTTCAATTCAAGTTCCCTCAGAAGCTAGAAATTGTAACCTTCATGGTGCTAAGTACAACTCAGGAGGTTGGAGGTGGAAATGAACAGAGGAGGGAGGATGGGTCTTCATGGAAGCCGTTGGCAGTGCTCCTGGCCTTGGCCTGGAGGATAAAAGTCCAGATTTTCCAGTGTCCTTTTCCTACCTTTTCCTTTTTCCATCCTGAAGGTGGGTGTGAGTACTGTGGGGAAGGTATGGTTGGGAGTAGGACAGAAGTGCTGTCCTTGAGAGTTTTTGGAAATTCTAGGTTCCGGTTTCTTATTAATACAGTCTGGGGTAG